CATGTGACATAGCGCAAAAAGCACACGATCCAGACGTAGACTGTCAATGCTAAAACTCGTCCGAATGTTTGTGCTCCCTACCGAGAGCCCTTGGCTCCCTGCAGGTATTATCTCTCTTCTGTCTGCTAATCGTAGCTGACTTGCAACCGAGGCGCACTTCAGATCTGCCGTCTCCAAGCCTGCGGTTGAAGCGGGTTGCTTGTCGGCGGACAGAGTAGCACACAAGCTAAATGCTAATTAGCTAGCTCCCGCAGACATGGGTGGCTGTGAATACTATGTTAACACAATTAGCTAAAAAGAAGATGCAAATTTGGAGCTGCATTTGTTTTCTTGCATACTCAAAAACACCTGCTTTTTGTTGAAACAACAAAAGCTACGAGTCACAGAAGGAACAGACACATTCTCTCAGATGCAGAGATCTACCTAGCAACAATGTTTGTGATGTCTAACATAATAAGACAGCATATGACTGGGCAGTAACCTGTCAGAGACGGTATATGAGGGATCCGTAGCATGCACTGTGGTGCGAAGGGCAGTGACAAATTGAATTTCACTGCACTGCTTCGATGCTGGATGCTTTTGTTCAGGTGGTGAGTTGATCGTTGCTCATTACATCAAGGGTGATGGCCCTTCAGTGCCTCCCTCTGCCACATCATCATTCCATCACACACACACACACACACATATACATGCGTACACACGCGTACACACGCCCGCCGAGGAAAAGTGAGGTCCGTGCCCCAAAGGGACTCTTGACAATGGCTTGAAAATAAATCATACTGATGAGAAAGTTCCTCAGTCAGGAGCCATCTGTCCCTGTGAAAGAGATGTGACTGAAGGGTTTGATTTTTCGCTCTTTTTTCAGATTCTTTCCCCTGACTCAACCCCACTACAACCCCGACCCCACCCCCACAACAACCCCACCCCCAATCCAACCCTTTAGCCTATATATGAAGCATCCACCGCACGCACTAAGCCCCATACATCACCCACAAACCCTCTAATCCATTGCCCGCATCTCAGGAGATCGAGACCGAAAGCGTGCAGAAAAACAAGACTGACTTGCCTCGCCGCGGTGCAGCCTCTGGATGGTAATCCTTTCTTTCTTTCTGGCGAGAAAACGCAGCAGCAACCTGTCTTCAGCTGCAATCCTGCTGTCTGCTGCCGAGCAGAAAAACAAATGGAGGGATGGAGGGAGCGAGAGAGCCGAAGAGGGGGTGTGGAGGGGGGTGTGGGGATGCAGGAAAGAGGAGGGGAGCAAGAGAGGGCAAGCAGGGGCTGGCTAACCACAGGGAGGCTTAAATAGACTGATAAATGAAGATAAGAACAGAGGGACTGAGAAGGAAATGTGAAAACACTGAGGGAGGGAGCGCCGTTACAGTGGCATCTGTTATGTTGACGGTGTCGGCGATGTGAAAAGCTGGAGCGCGAAATGAGGAAAAGACAAGAATGAACAAAGGGCAAAGCCTTTTGTTCCTCGCTATTACATCACAGGACAACAAATCAGAGAAATCAAACGTACTCAGGGCCACGAAAACATTTCATATGCACCTGTTTCTAGCTGCGAGAGTTGAGGTTTGGAAGCAAAATGAGAGAAACGGATGGGGATAAACAGAATTTATTATTCTGACAAACACATTCTGACAAAGATACAGAAGCTATGTTGTCTGGGGAAAATATTTGACCCCAGAATGTCACGACTGATTAATCAAAATCAAGTATTCCAGAGAACTGTGGGGAAATAAATAAGTGTTACTGATCCAGTAATACCACTCTGACTCAGTTTGAGAGGCACTAGTCAGGGAAGACATACATTAATGACAGCTGAATCTGCCTCTGTATCTTTAATTGTATTAGTGACATGCAGTCCTGTCTCAGGGTCACATGCCTTTATTGTCACTCTTCTCCAGCCGGCCATTATACCCCCAACACAAACATACACAACACACACACACATCTTTATACACACACTCCCAGCCACTGGCCACCTGGTGAGGCAACTAGCTGCTCGGGCCATCCTTGCACAAAAGAGACAGCTGCACCCCTCCAAATTCCTCATGCATAAGCACCAACTGACCCTCGCACACATCCAAACAGCCAGCCTCACATTCACAAGCTCTGATCAATCTTGACTCACTGCTGTCATGTTCACCAGCATCACGTCATGTAAAATTACCAGGTAATTGACAGCAAGATACCAACTGCTCCATTAAACCGGATATTAAACGCACATGCTTTAATCAAGACATGTTTGCATCTTGCTGGAACCAACCTATCTAAATCTATCTATGAAGACAATAAATGATATTATACAATTATTATATAAAAATTTAATTTCATCAAATTCATCAAAATATATCATGGTTTCCACAAAAATAAGACATGTTTCAGCATATTAGAAGGATTTTCTGAAGGATCATGTGACACTAAAGACTGGAGTAATGACAGCTGAAAATGCAGTATTTGTGGAAAAACCATACAGTGTGCAACTGAACCAGATCCAAAGCCAAATTCACATTTTGTACATATCACGTGATCTAGATTAAGTGTAGTGACCTAAAATCATCCCCAGCCCCTCCTATCATCTTGTTTATCAAGTTACGACAGATAAATTTTGACCCCAGATCATCATGAACTGCTGTTATATGAATAGTCCCAAATGCTGAACTGCTTTAGAAGTTGATTTCTGGAGCCTCTGGAGCATCTGGACCCCCCCCCCCCCCGCTCTAGTTTCACATAGATGGCCTCCTTCACATGTCTCATCTGTCCTCAATGTCCACGATCCGATTATCATGTCTTTAAAGGTGAAGCATGCAATTTCAGTAACAATAACTGTTCATAAACTAAACCCAAAAGCTCGCTCTGTCTCCTATTCAATCAAACCAATTCTGTTTGATGTAAATAGTGATAAAAATGGCTCACTTCATATTTAAGCCAATGATTTTTGTCTTTCAAGTTGCAAACATATGGATGGCTTTGATTTCTGGGAGGCCACGGCTATGTTTTTGTATCCATGAAACAGTGATGAAGTTGAGAAAAGAGATGAAGCCCACTACTATCAGTCCTACCTTCCCATCTGTCCCTCCAGCTGTCTCATGTCTATCAATCATTCTCAAACACACACACACACACACACACACACTGCCACTCACTTTCTGTCACATCAGAGTGTTTAATCTGAGACCGTCTACAGCTCTATTAACCAGAAGAAGATGCAAAACTCACCATCCAAACAGTTTAAAGCTGAGTTGGGGTTTCCTTTCAACTAGACAGCATTGGGAGTGCTGCTACAAATATTATGACTTATCAAAACTATTTTCTGCACAAAGCAGAATGTCAGCAAAGGTGTAGCAAAAAAATCCAGAGAGCTGCCTTGTTGTTTCTTGCCTCATGAAAAGCTAGAGCTCTGCTTTGTTACATGCTAATGTCAAACTCTTTATACTAAAATAAAATATAAAAACAAAAAGTATCAAGTAAAAGAAAAAAGTGTATAATTACAATCAATATTTCTCTCACTTTGTCTGATGTTTAATGTTTTTAGTAAAACTTTACAATAAAATTTCATTTTGTTAATATTATTAACATTAATTAGGTATGATGAACTAACAATGAACATACTATAACGTCTTTTATTTTAATTTATTTTAAAATGTAATTTAATCCTGTGATGCAAAGCTGAATTTTCAGCAGTCATTAGTCTTCACATAACCTAATCTTCATAAATCATTCTAATTTTCTGATTTGTTGTTCAAGAAGCATTTCTTATTTATATCATACTGAAAACAGTTGTGCTGCTTTAATATATTTTATGGAAACTGTGGTTCAATTTTTTTTCTTCAGGATTATTTAATGAATAGAAAGTTCAAATGAAGAGCATTAATTTAAAATATAAATCTTTTGTAAAATTATAAATGTCTTTACTGTCACTCTCGATAAGTTTAATGTATCCTTGCTGAAAAAAAGTATTAATTTCTGTTAAAAAACTTACTTTAAATAGTAGTGTATGGAGAAATTAACAAAATAAGATTAAAAATAATTTCTGTAAAAGCATTGTTCATGGTTATCATGGTTTTTCATGTTAGCTACTGTATTAACTAATGTCAATGTATACTATAGCAACATAAAATATTAACTTTTCCTTGCAGTGCATTCACTGTAAAAATGATTTCTAGGATTAGTTATCACAACTTAAAATTTAACATAAAAAAGTAATGTTAAGAAATGTACGAGGAAAAATTTGTTCATGCCAGACTTAAAATATAAGGTTAGCTAGCGTTTGTTTATCTTAGTTAAGTTGGATATTTAAGATATCTCAATAAACTTTAAGTTGATATAACTAATTGCAGCAACATTTACAGTGTTGTGAGACTGACTTTCCTTTCAATACATTCTGGGATTAATCATTGATAATATATCAAAAGAACAATGTTGCTGCCTACTTTTTAGAACAGCTTTGATGGTGTCTATGATGCCTTAAAATGCTGTCTAGGTAGGCAGCTTACTAGGTTTTGCAGCAGAGCTTTAGTGTCAACTCATTTAAATGTAACAGGTAGCATGTGTACTTATGAAAAAGTCAATTTTCTATACACACACAATTGTGTAAATCCACAAAGATACAGCGTTACCGGTTTTGCCAGTTTCTATAGACGGACATACACAAGGGAAAATCTCTGGACTTCTAGAAACATTGGTCTTATAGAATCGAAGCACGTCCACTCAACTGCACACATGTCCAATACTCTCTTCCTCTACACAGATACAAAAACACAGACTATTTCATCACACCTCTCCAAGAACACGGCTGCCACCTACTCAATCGAAAGGAGGATTTCTGTGAATATTGACGGTGTCCTCCCTTCCACTGCCTCAGAACAAACAGTCCAGCCATCACTTTGAGGCGCACACAGCTTCTGCACATGAACTTTAGCAAAAGAATGAAGTAGAGGCAACATATAGCAGAGTACAGTATAGAGAAAAGTAGAAACAATAAGTGTACTCACAAGGCACTGCGTGGCGGTAGAGGTTGTCGCGTATGGTTTGCTGAAGCTCGTAGTCAGCAGAGGATTTCTGAAACCTTTGGCTCAGGTAGTGTTTCAGGTCTTTATTGAGTTTATTTCCTGCAAAACAAAAGGAACATGTTATTGATTCTGAATCATGTGCGGACTCAGCAGATATCTCTAGTAGTGTAGTTTGCTTCTGACTCACTGTTTCACCATCAATGGATAAAACTTCCTGTGCGTGGCTACAATAATTGTAGCAGGTACATATTTGTGATCTGAAGAGGATTTGGGATGTTTCTACACTCTCAAAAATAAAGCTACAAAAGTTGTCACTGGGGCGGTACCTTTTCAAATGGTACACTTTATACCTTTTAGGTACTAATATGTAGACTTGAGGTAATAATATGTACTTTTAAGATACCAATATGGACACTTTAGGTACAAAGATGTATCTTTTGAAAAGGTACCACCCCAGTGACACCTTCTTTTATGAGAGTGTATTGCATGGCGCTAAGAAAGCCTAAAACACAGGTTTGTATAATGTATTTAATGCAATGTATTCAATGGTCTCAATTGGTAGTAAATGGAAGAAGTGGATATCTTCTAGATATAGGAGATGATAATGAGTGCACAGTACTGTTCAAAAGTTTGGGGTTATAATACTTTTTGAAAGAAATTAATACTTTTAATAAATGCTGTTGTTTTCTATTCATTAAAGAATCCTCAAAAAAATAGTACAGTTCTGTTTCAGCAACTGTTGAACTGTTTTTCAACTGTTTTTAACATTAATAATAAGACATGTTTTTTGAGCACTAAATCAGCATATTAGAATGATTTCTGAAGGATCATGTGACACTGAAGACTGGAGAAATGATGCTGCATTTTCAGCTTTGACATCACAGGAATCAATTTCATTTTAAATATATATTACAATAGAAAACAGTTATTTTAAGCAGTTATAATATTTCACAATATTACAGTTTGTACTGCATTTTTGATCAAATTAATGCAGCCGTGTTGAGCATAAGAGACTTCTTTCAAGAACATTAAAAAAATACCTATTCTTAGAATGGTTTACAATTATGTTGTTGGATGTTTGGATCAAGCAAGTCTAGTAACTATGTTTCTCAAACCGTAATCAATGACAAATGAAACACATTTGTAAACATTAATTGTGGCACATGGGTGTGAAACCGTAATCCATGAGACATTAACACATAGTAGCACACCTCCATTCACACTCATGGGGATACCTGGCTGCCACCTCAACCCAGTGCAAGCAATAGAGTGGGCCATGTGAAACATTTCCCACCCTCAGCTCCACCATCTGTTTAGAAGACACAGATCGCTTACCCAGCACCATTTCAAAGAGATGCCAATAGCCAAAAGCTGTTTATGTGTTAATGTGGGTCCGCTGGGTGCCCGCAACAATGCCAGATCAGTCGCCGGCACTGCCTTCCCACAAACTCTCCATTTCTCACATGTACAAGTGATTCAAGGGACTGCCCTTTACCGGATTAATGGGAATATTGTAGTTCTAGAGAATTCTTTGAATGGATAGTCTCATTAAGGCCTAATGATGTAATCAGTTTCTCTCTCGCTCGCTCTGTAGTCTATTGTTGATCAAATGAAACTGCATTTTAAAACTTTATGAACATACATAATTGGTTGCCTTGGCGATACTCAGTGCTGCAAGTCTCAAATGCCACCCTCTGCCCTTGAAATTTTCCTACCAATGACATAAACCAGCACAGACTGTCAGTTAATAATCTACTGTAAAGTTTATGGCGATCTGGGCTCTTCGAGCGTGCACAGTAGATGCAAAACCTCATGATGACCATTTTGTGTACTAAAAGAATAAAAAATGTTCACAATAATTTCTAAATCTAAAGCTTGATCCCAGTTTAGAAACATCATCTTGTCATTAATGCACTGGAATATCTAATGCGGTTTCTCCAGTGTTTTGTATAGAACCAGGTTTAGCTTTGTACAGAGCACTGACTGAAGAAATAAAAGAAGGGCTAAGAAATAAAATGGAACAACAAGTCCAAATTAACCGTCCAATGAGAACAAAACAGTTTAACAACTCAAAAGTCAACATCACAGGATGTAAACAGCCTATTCAAATGGACAACGCAAACTCAACAAACACTTGCTTTTAAAAATGAGCACAGCAATTTTCCCTGAAACAGATAAACATTTTGCAGAAATGATACAAACTATTTTCTTATGCTTAGAGGATGAGTTTTAGGTTCTACAGAGAATCTGAATCTCTTTGTCCTCTTCTATAAAAAATAATTCAATACTCCTTCATTTACTCTCATCATAGTGTGTTCAAACAAATAATAATATCCCCCAAAAAACTGGTTATAGCTTTAATATCGTGGTCTACAAATCCAGAGCCTTTATGTATCTTTAAAGTCAGCATGAAACGGAAATTCACCAGATCCGTTTCATAAATGCATGTTATTGATTGCATTGTGAATGATCTATACATGCATACTTTTCATTTTTCAATTTTGATTTAATATTTAATCTAAACTGCAGGCTTCTTCTCTGGTGCCAGACTTTTTCCATCATTTAGTCCCTCTCTTGCAATCGGCTGCAAGCTTGAGATCTGCCTCCATCAACAACCACAAACAGGACCAAGTCCCAAACCTAAATTTTGTTTTTTCTTTAGCGATAATCTGTTTAACTCAGATGCAAATCACAATATCGAATAATCGATTAAGATATATGGAATAAAGCTCTTTCACGGCAATGGAAAAAAAATTTCAGGAAAGCAAAAAACGCTTTTAATTTCACAAAAGTTAAATATGTATAACATTGTGGTCTCAATTTTAATCTTTCAGTAAAATGCAACGTTTTTCATGTAATAAACACAGATTCAAAACACAGCAGATATGGTTGCACACATTGCATTGAGGTAAAGATATACATTTAACGCACAGTTCATGTTGCTGCGACTATGTTGAGCAGGCTGTACAATTAGCTGCAGAACAAGTAACAGCTCTGCCAGGCAATGCTCAAGCTAGAAGGTCAGAAAAGAGTTCTTCTCTTCTAATTGAACCTCTGGAGGATTGTTTCTTAATCTAGCCACATCCAAGTCTAAAAATACACTTCCATACGAAACCCATTAGACTGCTTTATCAGAACTAAAACGGGAATAATGTGTGAGTGTGAAATTCCTGTTGAGTTGGTGTGTGCAGTCTGGCGTTGATGTTAGCGCCGCGGCATACCGCTGTGAATTAATTCCTGCAACAGGTTGCGAGTCATTACTCAAGCCTACAGCAGCCAGACTACACACCCACCCCCATCCATCATCCCAAACTCACTTTATTCCAATTAGCTGCTTACTAGTCGGACTCAATGGCAACACTGGTAAAACAAAAAAAAACTAGATCTTGCCCTGCAGAGATGAGTCCAAGAGAAGGATGTGAAAACAAAAAGGTTGTACTGTAGGCAGATGCCATGGGAAAGACTTTATTGGAAAGACTTGACTTATTTTACATTTTGTTTGGGGGGGTGGGGTTACAGTGGCTTATGGCACTACTACCAAAGTACTGTCATGGCCAGTAGTTTCTGTGGACATTCGCTACTAATGTGGAGGTTGCCGAGTACAAAATGAGTTACGATTATGCGGAAGACAAAACAGGTCTACCACAATCCCCATATCTATAATCTATAACAATGACTTTCAAACGGAAAGAAGGGCCACAATAAATGTATTAGTAAAAAGATAAAAATGAAATAAATAAAATAATATACTAATGTTTTATTCAAAGAACTGAAAATAACAATAGACAACCAAACTAATAATAATAGGCACATATTTCTCAGCTAATTAGGACTTAAAGGGTTAGTTCACCCAAAAATGAAAAATTCTGTCATTAATTACTCACCCTCGTGTTGTTCGAAACCCGTAAGACCTTCGTTCATCTTCGGAACACAAGACGCGCGTTCACGACAGTATCATGACATGAGCGTGTGGCAGCGCTGACCCAGATCCAGCATAATGACGTCATCCTGTTGGATCTGGGTCAGCGCCGGCATCGCCACACGCTCGCGTCATGGTACTGTCGTGAACGCATGTCCAAAGTGACGCAGTAGAGACGAAAATGTGGAATAAAGTCATTATTTTTGTTTTCTTTGTGCAAAAAAAGTTTTCTCTTAGCTTTGTAACTTTACAGTTGAACCACTGATGTCTCACGGACTACTTTGTCGATCATCTTGGTACTTTTCTGGACCTTGAATGTGGTAGTTACCTTGCTGTCTATGGGAGGGTCAGAGAGCCCTCAGATTTCATCAAAAATATCTTAAATTGTGTTCCGAAGATGAACGAAGGTCTTACGAGTTTGGAACAACACGAGGGTGAGTAATTAATGACAGAATTTTAATTTTTGGGTGAACTAACCCTTTAGGTTTGTATGAAAACAAAAATTCAGTTATGATAGTAATTAAAACTAAATGTCTAAGAGTAAAATTTAAAAGAAATATAAAGTAATAAACAGAAATAAATAAGAGATACAATTATATATATATATATATATATATATATATATATATATATATATATATATATATATATATATATATTCATAATTAAATACAATTATTTTATTTTTATATTTTTATTATAACTTAAAAAGAAAAAAAACTAAAACTTTATTTTTTCTGGAACTGCATGTTCAGAATCATACATGCATATGCATTTTCATTTACTGATATTATTAGAGATAAAATAAGTAGTCAATTTGTCAGTTTGGCCTGATGAGAATGTTAGTGATCAGAAAAGTGTTCCAAAGAGCCTTGAATAATGCCTTGAATTACTGTGCATTATTTGATCTGGTGAATAAAAAAAAAAAAGTTTAAAAAAAAATGTAGTGTACTAAAATGTTTAGGGTGTCATTTTACACAGACCATGCACTTTTTACATGCAGCGAGTAGATTAGACAAGACATAATTTTATTATGTGTGTTGCGAGTGATATGGAAATGGGTTTAGTGCAGAGTAAAGAATGGCTCTAAAAGCACCTTTTTGAGAAACAAGTGTTTTGTAAAGAAAATATGATTACAAGATATTTTTCAAACAGGGGGAGCAGCATAACTTAAAACCAA